GGGTAAGAGAGAGAGAGAGAAGCAACGAGGAAGCCAGACTGGTAAAAAAACAATAGGAAATCCAAGACAGAGGCAGACAGCCAAGGACAGAGAGATGAAAGCTAACAGAGCCGACAGCGGGCAAGACAAAGAGACACAGAGACCGCGTCAAAGAGAGATATGGAAGGGAGGCCAGGCGACCTCTGACTCAGGGATGCGTGCGGCCCTCCTTGCCTGTCCCTTCCCACAGCTGTAACTACAGTGTTCCGGACGCCCTCACACCGGTATTGAGGTGTCACCCCGGCCCCAGCATGAGGGCCCAGCCTCACCGGGTCCCCATTTAAGCTGCATCCCCAGTGCTTATGGAGGCCCCTGGCACGTAGTGCATGCTCAGCAGACCCATGTGGGCAGGGACGGAGGAGAGGGAGGCATAAGCAAAGAGAGGAGCCCCTGGAAAGGGGGCGTCTCACAAAGCCCTGTAAGTGATTCCACTGGTCCACCATGTTTTGTGAAGGTTCAGCAGGGCTCAGTTATCTGTCCCCGAGTCACACAGCTGGGGAGTCACACACCGTCCAGTCCTTGAGCAGATGAGATACATTCACTTCCTTTAAGCATCCGTGCTTCAGTGCCTTCTCTCTCTTTCCCGATGCACTTTCTTCTGCACCGCCCACCGGTGTGGTGTGATGGCCGAAAGCCCCGCCTGTAGTCGGGAGAGTCCACACCCTCTGTTGTCTCATCTGTAAGATGGACACAGTGAACGTTTCCTCTCTCTCACACTGTTGAATGGCCGACAGTGACAAGGCAATTAGACCATGTAAAAAGGGGGCACGTGTGGGGCACAGTTAGTGCTCTTAACAGTAACTACTGATTTCATTACTCACAGCTCATCATTCTTCCTGGCAAACTCCTACGTATCCTTCAAAACCCCGTTCTGATATTGTCTTTACTTTCAAGCCTTACCAGGTGACATGTTTCCCTCTTGGAAGAACCAGCCGTCTCTTCAAATCTAGAGCCATGCCACCTCTTAGCACATAGGGATGTAGCTCACATACCTGTCTCTAAGCCTTACGGTACAAATCCCGAAGGTAAGGGGTGGGTATCATTTGACTGTTTTGTGCCTGGAACCCGGGTTAGGACCTGAAGCAGAGACAGTACGCGGTGGATGGATCGAGAACGGTGGGCAGGGGAGGTGTGCAGAGTGGACAGAAGGCAGGTGAGCTGGGGAAATGAGAAATGTGGGGGCCACTCTCGGCGGAGATTGTGAATGCCCCTCCCGCCTAGACCCTGAGCCTGTCTCCGCCCTCTCCCCCTCGCCAAGAAGCAAAACTCATCTCTGGAGAGTTTGATTCGTTAAGACATTTTTGGAGGAAATTCCTAGGCATAAAGAAAAGCAGTTTGTGTGTCAGCATGGGCATATCTGATAGAAAACTGTCATCTTTTTCCGTAAAGCTGTTGGAATTGCTATCTTTCAGGAAGGTTGCGAGAGGGTAGCAATAAGCCAAATTCTCTGGAAACCACATCACGTGTTCTGCTGATGGCCTCCACGCCGAGCCCCTTCCCCGCCCTGGGGGAAGCAGGTGTCCTCGGAGGGGGTCTTGGAGAAGCCGTCCTTCGTATGTGCCATTTGAACAGCAGACGGGGTGATTTTTTCTGTTTGTGAGAATCATTCACCATGATTTTTTTCCTTCAGATGAAATAGCAAGGACGTATTTACTGAGCCAGCCTAATATACAAGTTAGAGGATTTGCTAAATTATGATCATCCAAAGCAATTCTGACGTGCTGCCCGGCGCTTCTGAGTGCTAGGCCGGAGCACAGATGCGTACGCGTCGGTCCACTGGGGCAAGGTTATCTTCGATTCCCAGTGTTACATCGAAGTCAGCTGTCATGTCTTTGCCTACGTCTTGGAGCACACCAAGGGCTCCTTTCTTTATTTCAACTTTTTAATGTTTATTTTTGAGAATGAGGGAGATAGATTGTGATCAGGAAGGGGGAGAGAGAGGGAGACACAGAATCGGAAGCGGGCGGGGCGCCTGGATGGCTTAGTCGGTTAAGCGTCCGACTTTCGCTTAGGTCATGATCTCACGGTTCGTGGGTTCAGGCCCCGCGTCGGGCTCTGTGCTGACTGCCAGCTCAGAGCCTGGAGCCTATTTCAGAGTCTGTGTCTCCCTCTTTCTCTGACCCTCCCCTGATCACGCTGTCTCTCTCTCTCTCTCTCCAAGAAAAAAAAAAAAGAATCGGAAGCAGGCTCCAGGCTTCGAGCAGTCAGCACAGAGCCTGATGCAGAGCTCGAACCCATGAACTGTGAGATCATGACTTGAGCTGAAGTCTGCCACTTAACCAACTGAGCCACCCAGGGGCCCCAGGGGCCCCATTTCTTAAGGCTACAGGAAGCAGGGCTCACACTAAACAGTCTGGTGATGATCTTGCTAGAAGAACACAAAAGAAGCATGGCAGCCCTTGCCTTCATCCAGAGAAAATCTTCTTCATCCTCTAAAACATACCTCAGTAGTTTGGGGAAAACCATTTGATTTCCTTTTATTTCCCCCAAAGAACTCTCAAGTTGCCAAGCAATCATTTTCGGGTCCTCTTCGTAATGAGAAGTATAGTCACCAGCCTATTATCCTATGGAAAGTTCCCGCCAGGGGAAGTGAGGCGGAGCCCCATCTGGAGGGGAGTTCCAGCAGCCATTTTGGCACCATGAGGCAACAAGTATGGGGAAACGATCTAAAGAATCTCAAAAACTCTGATCCAGATATCACAGAGCCCTGGAGCCAAAACAGAAGCTTCCAGACCTCTTGCCCTGGAGAAAAATGAGCCCCTATTCTATTTTGTTTTGCTCTATTGAGTTACCATGACTCAGCTATTCTGTTGCTCACAGACAAAAGCATATCTAACAGCCATCCCTCCCAATAGCTCAGGGGAAGCCCGAGGCAGGAAAAAATAAACACAAAAGACCAATGGGACCTTAGCTGTCTGTGAAAGGCAGGGAAAAAGTAGGGAAGGGGGGAGGCGGCAAGAAAACTGACCAGAGCAGCTCATTCTTGGTGCTCTCTGGATCCGTGGGAAAGGAGGGAACACGTTTACTGTGCAGAGCGAGAAGACCTCACACGATGCAAACACCGAACTGTACAGCCTCTGCATCGGGAGTTAACATGGCCCTTCACGCACTTAGATTAAGCCTCTATGTCTCCCCCAGATCCAAATGCACTCTGGAGAGCAGAAAGCCACAGCCGCAGGGCGCTATTGTTTTATGGGTTATTCTAAACCTTCCCTGTTCACAGCTGCACGGCCTCTTATCTTGTGTGGATCCGCATCCCTTCTGCACCCCCCCACCAGAACTTCCCCCGGGCGCCCCAGATTTTAAAGAAACGCACAGGAAGTGATACTTGGCAAGTTATCACTTGATGCGACCTCCATGGTCAGCTTGAATGTAATTCATAAAGCAGTTCTTTGCTCGCGAGCTCTCCTCTCTCTCCTCTCTCTCAGCCGCTAGCATCGCTGCTGCTTAATTCTTCAAAGGACTGCGCTAATTGCTTTCTTCCCTCCTTTTTTGTAAAAGTTAAAAGAGATAGTTTCCACAACAAAGGCGCACTTTCCTCCTCATCTTCCAGCGGTGCAGGAACCCGCAGGTACGTGTTTTAATGGCTTCGTCACCTTCGACCAAAATGCTGCCACCTTTGCTTTTGTAAGTGACAAATCCCGCTGTCTGGGTGGCTGAAGATGAAATACATTGATGACGAGGAGAAGGTGTGTGTTTGGAGTGGGGTCACACGAGGAACCCCGAAGCCTGAGACTCGGGCCGTCCTCTCCCCTTGGGGGGCCTCCCTGCACAGCGTCCCCCGTGGGATTCGGGGTTCGCCTCCGAGACCCTGAGCTGCTCCTCCCGCGCACATGCGCTCACACCATGGGGGCCGTGGGAGCAGGTGGGCTCGGCCTCGGGTCTGAAGGAGGCACAGAGAGCCCCCCCCCACCTGCCATCACACCTTGTACTATATCTGTGTCTCTTCCAACTATTACCAGCTTGATACATTCCTTTAAACCAGCCCAGCCCTACGCTCAAGCCTCGCGTTAGCAATAGGCTTTGCCAAGTACTGTCCATGGGCCAGCGTTGCCTTACTTCCTCCTAATGCATTTTACTTATAGCAGCACACATACAAGCTGCACGCGTGTACACACACACACACACACTCAAGCACATACACGCACGCCCTCACCTGTGCTATTAAAACCCGTCGGTGATAACCGTGTCGCGCCTGGACAAACACGCATCTTACCGAAATGACTCCGTCTAATCAGAAGGGCCCCGAGGAGGGAAGGGGCTCGTCCGGAGTCATTTAGCAAACGCCGTAAGTGTCAGAACTAGAACCCAGGACCGCCGATGCCCGACCCACTCCTCTCGTCTGCAGATCA